AGTAGTAGTAGTAGTAGTAGTAGTAGTAGTAGTAGTAGTAGTAGTAGCAGCAGTAACTTCCATTTATGTAATACTTTAAGGTTTTGCAAAGCACTTTACATATGTCATCTTAATTAATCCTCACAATAACCCTGTGAGGTAGCGGCTATTTTTATCTCTATTTTATAGATGAGGAAACTGAGGCTAAGAAAGGTTAAATAATAGCATTTATATAGCACTTTAACGTTTGCAAAAGCACTTTAAAATGTCTCATTTTATCCTTACAACAACCCTAGCAGATAGGTGCTATTATTATTCCAACTTTATAGATGAAGAAACTGAGGCAGACAGAGGTTGAATGACTTGCTCAGGGTTGCATAGCTAATAAGTGGCTGAGGCTGGATCTGAACTCAGGCCTTCCTGACTCTGAGTCCAGCACTGCACCACCTTGCTGCCCTGACAGACATTAAACAGTGAATTCCTTGAGGGCAAAGACTATCTGACACATAGTAGGCACTTAATAAGTGTTTCTTGACTGAAATGACTTGTCCAGGTAAGTGTCCAAAGCAGGATTTGAACTTGAGTCTTTTTAACTCCAAGCCCAGGTATTTATGCACTGTACCACTGAATAAGATTTGGCAACAGTGGTCAAGAAAAGGGCTGCTATTTCTGTGTCAGACCAAAGTCCTGCATAACAGAACATGGGAAATAATCAAAGGGAAGACAGAGAGTCACATGGAGGCAGCCTGGAAGAAGTGGAAAAAGAAAGAGCCACATGTTAAGAGACCTGGGTTCTAGTCCCAGCTCTGCCTCTAACTTGCTCTGTGACTCTGGATATATTACTTGGCCACTCAGAGCCTCAGCTTCCTCCTCTGCAAAGTGTTTTGTTGTTGGTGTTTTTCAGTCATTTCAGTCATGTCTGATTCTTCATGACCCCATTTGGGGTTTCCGTGGCAAAGATACTGGAGTGGTTTGCCATTTCCTTCTCCAGTTCATTTTACAGATGAGGAAACTGAGGCAAACAGGATTAAGTGACTTGCCCAGGGTCACACAGCTAGTAAGTGTCTGAGAGGCTGGATTTGAACTCAGAGAAGTGAGTTTTCCTAAGTCCAGGCCAGCCCTCTAGCTACTGCGCCACCTAGCAGCAAAGCGATGGATCCCATTAAGTAGCCTCTAAGGTCTCATGCTGTGATTGCGTGACCTGAAATGACGAAGTAGAGATGTAGGAAGCTGAGATAGATAAATGAGGCAGAGTCTCAGGGCTCTGATGCTGCCTCCAGGGAGCAGGGAGATGGCTTTGGGGGGTCAATCAGACTTGGTGGTTGGTACGCCTGAAATCATAGGTGGTCTTCTGTTACAGGTTCTAAATATCCTGTGTTAAATCACACCTTCTCTCCAGACCTCTGATCTGTGCTCTGATAAACTGGCACCCCTGAGAAAGAACGGGACCAGCTCCACACCCCCTGCCCTCGTTCACTCAATTCCACATTTCCCAACCACCTATTCTGTGCAAGGGCCCCACACAGACACTGAGCAGATGAAGCTAAAAATGAGTCCTTGCTCTTAAAGAATGTATATAGTACTCTAATGGAATGGAACTGATGTGAAACAGTCTGGCATGTCCTGGCATAGCAGCAGTTAACATTTATGTAGCATATTACGGTTTGAAAAACATTTGACATATATTAGTTTGTCTGATTCACAATGACTTTGTGAAATAGGTGTTAAGAAAATCCCCATTTTACATATGTGGAAACTGAGGCTGACAGCGATAAAGTGACTTGCCTGGGATCAAAGTTAGGTAAGTATCTAAATTCAGGTCTTCCTGACTTCAAATCCAATGCTCTAACTACTGCACTATGGAGAGCAGGCTTTTTCATAACCATTTGTCCAAACTCCTCCTTGGCCCTTTTCACATTCTGCCTCATAATACACTTCTTTATGGACAATCATTTTTTTTTTAATGAGACCTGTAATTTCATTGGGATATGCTGAATTTCTCCCAAGCAGGCTATCACCTTCTACCCCATGTACAGTCTAAGACCACTGCCTGAGGGCACTAAGAGGATAAGTGACTGGCCCAAGGTCATGTAGCCAGCATATGTTAGGGGAAGGTCTTCAGCTTGGGTCTTCATGACTTCCAGTCACTTTCTACCACCTCTGAGATAAGATTCTACCTCCTCAGCCTGGAATTTATTATCACAACAACAAAATCCCCAATGATCTGGCTCCAGTCTACTTTTACAATCTCATTTCAGCCTCCCCTTCATACCATGTCTATTCCATTCAAAAGGGACTCCCAGCCTGTTGTTAACCAGTCTCCTCCTCCCCTCTCTCTTCTGTACAAAGAGCATTCCCCCACTCACGGAACGCCTTCCCCACTCATCTCTGCCTGATGAAATCCTCTTCTTTTTTTTAAGGCTCAACGCAGGTGCCACTTTCTTCATGAAGTCTCCCCAACTTTCCAACCTGAAAGTGTTCTCTCTTCAAATTTTCTGGGGGCCCTTTATCTGGACCTCTGCTTCCCCCTACTATACTATAAGCAACGCTATGAATTATACTTATCTGTATAAATGCCAAACATGTACCCTTTCCTCCAAGTAGATTGCAAGCCCTTTAAGGAAGCATTTGTTTTGTTTTTTATCTTCAACGGTACTGTCTTCATCCAGAAATTACCTATAGGTCCAGTCCCTATCCTAATATCCTCAGCCCCTGGAACTGTGCCTCACACATAGCAAATTTAATAGATTTTGTTAAATTAAATTGAATTCTATTATCCTGCCATCTAGCCAAAGCTGGTTCTCTAAACATCCAGGCAAGTCACCGTGCCAAAAGCAGCTTCACTCCCTGGGGGAGCCTTAGCTCCATCCTGGGCCAGCACCCCCACCCTCCAGGCTCAGCCTTGGGGAATGCGACCATCCCCAAGGTCAAGGGATGCCCTGAGGATTTTCTGAGCCACCACTTTTCAAGAACTGACAGTTCG